AGATATTTATCAATTGTGCCTGGGCTGGGGGCCGGAAAAATACCACTGTATGTACCTGTTCTTTTATTTTATCATTTTGTTTTCTTTTTCCGATTGGTTTGTACCCTATTTTTGTTTTGTTTCCCCGCGGCGNCACATGATACATAGTTTGCTGTGTGAATCGTCTGCATAATGTAGATATTTATCAATTGTGCCTGGGCTGGGGGCCGGAAAAATACCACTGTATGTACCTGTTCTTTTATTTTATCATTTTGTTTTCTTTTTCCGATTGGTTTGTACCCTATTTTTGTTTTGTTTCCCCGCGGCGTCGTATGTGCCGGGTTTTGAGACCACGGGCTCCCCATTTTTTGTGGACTATAGAGCTAATGTGAGAAACAACAACAAACAATTCTTCAGACCCCCCCTCACGTACTCTCAAGTACTCGCCGCCCAGAATGAGAGAGAGAGAGAGGAGGGGGGAGAGCACCCGACCTACACTCCTTTCTGAATGCCCTCTTGTTGCAGTCGTTTCTTCTTGGAGATATGTGCTCGCGGTGCGTTCTCCACAACTCCCACCTTGCTTGGCCGTGCATTGCAATGAACTTGATTGACAAGGCCGCCAGCGATGGTTTGCACAGAGAAACCTCCTTCCCGTCCAAAGGGGGTTTTTCGCTTTTCGGTCCCTGCCACTGGTGGTGTAGATGTTTAATGATGTGTCATGGGTGCAAAAATTATGCGTCATCTACGTGGATATCATGCCATTCAGGCGTGACTCCACCCAACCCCAACAGGGCCCGTATCCGCCATTGCCTACAAACCAGGGAAAAAACGAGTCAGAATCGGCATGGCGAAGAAGTCTCCTGTTAACGAAGTTGGCAGAGCAGAAAGAAAGGCGCCGAGCGAAGTGAGGCCGAGGAACATGCAACATGTGGAGCGAGTCACAAACCTCTCTGCCTCAAGATTGGCAATGTTTGCGGAATTTGCAGCGGTGTGGTGGTAGACAGTACTCGAGCTGTGTCTGCGTCTCAACGGGCGAACGGAAACCAGCTTGCGTTGGTGATAGAGAACCAAGATTGAAATGTGGGATCGTCGTTGTATGGCGGAATACGTCATTACTATCCATCGACAGCCCTCATCCTGGAGTGCCTCTAGTGAGTAGGGGCGAAGCCAAACGACAGACGCTACTTCGCGAGACTCGTCTCCAACATACGTGGCAGTCAACAAAGAGATTCTCAAGCAGCGAGATTCGCACGCCTGGCACTCTCCGGTTTGGGCGGTAAAAAGCACCGGGTAAATACGTAGCTCTCGTGAGAGAAACGAACTCATTGCAGGCAAGACGTCATTCAGAGGAGCATACCAGAGCCCGTGATGCGTGTCCCACGCACCGTGAAACGTTTTTTTCCACGAAAAAAAACAATCCTGGAATGAATGCCGTCGATCGTTGACATCCGGCCCCGTTTCTTACGATTTTGGACGACCAACTTAGTTTTCGATTACGTGACCATTTCATAAGAAAGCTCAGTTCATGAAGTCTCATGACGCCAAAACCCGGGACCCCCAGGAGAAGAAGTAAACCTGAAATGTGTGCCCACGAGTCCTACACATGACACGAACAATAGAGCCGTAGGACGATCCTCTTCGGCTGAGGTTTCTCCTCCGACTTGAACAACAGTGACCGCCGGCGTTTCAGGTTTAGCTTGCGTGAAACGTCAGCGATTCATTCTGGTAAACTTCCCGGCCTCGGCCACAGATCATGAAACCCATTGAGCGAACGGTATTCAACGGTCCCGCGTCCGGCCACTGGAGGCGCACGCCTAGAAATACCTTGGCGGTAAAAGAACGCCATGCCCTCATCCAAGATGCGGGTAGCCAATATCCCATGAGAGGACAGACGTTCCGCAAGATGAAAAATGCAATGAGAGAGCGACGCTTCAGTTTCTGAAGTGTTCAACGCGCTGGAACCATTCTAAAAAAAAATGTTGTCCTTCCACCACCGGCACACCGAAAAATTGCCATATCAGCAACGACTTTCCTTAACAACTGCTTCGGCGTAGCCGTAGACGTATGCTTCAGCGCGAGCGATACCTTGGAAGATACATCACTTTCCACTACAAACAGGCAAACATCTGGGCACCCGAGGGTCAGAAATCAATCACTACGACACATCGATGTTGATGGGCGTTGGGGCTTTTGTTACCTACACGGGCTTTGTGCGCGACGTTCAATGTTTCAACAAATGCTGTTTCGAAGTACTTCGAAATTCCGAAGGCCCACAACCAACTTCTCTACACTCACGTCTTTCGAAGCAATATACACATGTTGCCTCTTTCACCCCTGCGGGGACGTACACAGGCTTGCCTTAATTGGCTTCTCCGACAGCAGCACCGCACCAAGTCAAGACGCGATGCCTGAAAAAGAAATCGCGCTTTCTACTCCGTCCCTACGATTGCCCTTGAGCAGTGCCTTTATTAACGCATTATTTTGTCACTTGCTTCGTGGTTCGTGACACCCCTATGACAGCTCTTGTCTACGCAGAGTTCTCGCAGTGAGCCTTGTAGGCCTCGGGGTCCATAAGCGTGTCGGGGGCGGGCTCCGTCATTTTGATCTTGATGAACCAGCCCTGGCCCATGGGGTCTTCGTTCAGGATGCCAGGACTCTCCGTCAACGCCTGCGAACGACACAGCAGTGGCAATGAATTCGCCACACACAAACAATGGCGTCGGAGAGACGGCGACCAATGGAAACAGAGGTCATACCACTCCTGATGCGACAAAAACGAAAAAAAAACACGAAACCAACGCTCTGTGTACCAAGGCACACACAAGCAATCGTGGGGAAAACGGCAACCAAACGGAGACAGACCACTCCTGTTACAACAAAGCCACCAACGCTCGGTGTACGAGGTGCGTGTCGACGTTTCATGGAGCGAGAAAACGGCCGGCGCCGTCGCCGACAAGGAACAATCAACACATGAACGTCATTTTCGTGTGTATGTTCTCTCATACGGTGCTCGGCCGTGACCGCGGGAACTCAGTTCTGCGCCTGGGGTAGTGAGGAGGAGACTGCAAGGAGATCAACTCTCAGCTTCATTGCAAGAAAGCACCAGCGGCAGCACCAGTACCAGAGACAAACTAAACGTCCGGCAATACCCACAGTGCTCAACACTCCACAAAAAAAAAAAAAACGTGTACAACACAACTTGACGGGCTAGTTGACTCCGATTAACAACCTTTCGTCCATGCTTCCGTGCGCAGCTACTCCGAGGTGCAAGTAGACACGACTTGGTTGGCGGCCTGCTGCAAAACATCCTACGCAAACCGATCCCCGTGGATGTAGATGATTCCCTAGGGGATGTGCTTCGTTCCATTTTCTGTGTCTCCTCATGACAAGCACTGCTAGCCCTCCGAACCCCGCCAAACTGGGAGGAAGGTAGGAAAGCTCCGAACACGGGTACGAATGTTTCAGAGACCTACAAACTAGATGGCAGTTCGGCGTAGCGACAGAGGAGATACAAACCAATTCGAGGGTCGGCCAAGCAACTGCGGTGTGTGTGTGTGTGTGTGTGTGTTTTTTTATTATTAGCATCGACCGCGCTAACCGGCTGACCAATGAAAAGACGTCAGTCTTAGTGCGGTTGAAAACACCGTGTGTGTGTGTGCGTGTGTGTGTGTGCAAGGGCCACCGGGCAACAACGACGGGGACAACAAGACGAGCCAGGTGGAGTTCAGAGGCACGGCGTGGGGAGTCCTTCCAGAGGATAGCACACCATCACGACAAAAACTGAGCACATACACATTGTACAAAATACCACCACCGTCCGTGCTTGAAGTTGCTTGAGTTACAGGTTTTGGTCCGGGTTATGCTTGATGATGACACAAATGCAGCCCCTGGAGGGCGCTGAGCTTACCTCGTTAACCTCCAGCACCTCCCCACTGGCCGGAGCGTACACGTCGCTGGCAGCCTTCACCGACTCCACCGACCCGAACGAATCCCTATCATACACATATATCAAAATCGAAATAGCACACGATACTTACCATCATAATAGGCTCTTGGAAAGGCACTCGAAACAACGACTAACTCGAGCGGGTGGGGCGGTGCGGGGCAAACAAAAGGTACCGGAGGTCCTACGAAAGGAAGGGCATCTGCAGCGGACGTCTAGTGCAGCAAGGAGATGACACAAAACAAAAATGGGGGTCACCAACCAGCTCTCGCCACCTGAAATCAGCTGCGAAGACCTTGCGCGTGACGTGAGTGTTTCGAATTCCGCAATCGGACCACGATTTACCCTCACGCAAGATCGCACGCCGTTGTTCCTCCTCACGTGCGTAGTCTCGCGAAACGAGACAGCATCTGTTTGCAGACCCCGCAAAGAACGTGCCTACGAAATGATGCGAAAGCATACCACGAGTGGAGAGTGGAGCATCGCTGCCCGCTTTCCTAAAAACAACACGAGGGCAACAACAAAAAAAACTCCTCTTACCCTGCCTCGAACTCGTCGCCCACTTCGGGAAGATCTACGAAAACCACGTCTCCCAGAGCCTTGGCGGCGAAGGCCGTGATGCCCACCTTCGCGGTGTCCCCATCCTGTTTACAAAACACGCAACCACGGGGACACGGCGAAGGGCGCAAGAGTCGCGGGGGACGCGCCGATAGGAAAGGAAGGCAAGGAGGGGTCCGTAAAAAGGCGCTCAACATCTCAAATGGACAAGCAAGTGTGGATTTGTTGCCGAAGGTGGTACGCCTTTCGTCCGTCTCTCAACGGTGCGTGAACATCGACAAGAGAGCGCCGTATTGCTGCGTAGCGCTTGTCGCTCTCGACCAAGCATTTTCTGACCATGCCGCACACCCCGTGTCTCCGGGCGGCGTGGGTTCAGATCGCCCGTGGACACCCACCCACATGCATGCCCCTGAGCGCCCGGTGCGAGGCCAGGGATCGGCACATGCAACGGCAGTCTCCCGTCTATCTGCAAGCCCAACATTTCTTTTACCTCACAACGTTAATGGCCGATGGGGGTTGTTTCAGCTCTCGTACACATGAGCTCGGTCGAGTGCAGCATGAAAAGCATGTAAGTGTCTTCATCCGATTTGTACATGTCGAAGACAAGGCACCAGACACTCTTGCGTAAAAACACTGCCCCCAGACATCTAAATAGGCGGGGGCAGAATGGACCACACAGCAGCCCAAACATCGGGTAAGGGTTCTCGTGTCGAAACTCAAGTGAAGCTGTGCCCTTTGCGAGCGATACAGGGGTGTGTTCATCGTGTAGGGAAAGTCGGTGGGTTGGACGATGCGTGAGGGTAGTTTCCGTGGTCAACGCCGATGGCTCGCACGGGTCGTCGCAGTGGTCGGCCGGCAGCGCGTATGACTGCGGCGTTACAAGCTCACATGCGCGAAGGACGCTTGAGGGACGCAGGCGGCCACTACAAACTATGCATTCAAGGTATGTATTCGGAGCAGTGAGCTAGTCGTTATCGGGGACTGCAGTGTAGAAGCCCGCATGGAGGTTGTGGGATGGAAAACGCGAGGGATGGCGCAGCGATATGTAGGGCCGACGAAAGGAGGGGGATACCTCCGCCAAGTGCCAGCGGATCCAGGGCCAACACGAGCAGCAGCGGTTGTACATGGAGAAAGTCGATCTCCCGTTGCAAGAATTCGCTGATTCGAGATTCCTATTGCGTTGCTACTGCTCTTTTCAGTGGCTACTAGATGGATGGAATGGTACAATGCATGGGGATGATTTTCAGGTAACGACAGGGAATGAAACATCGCTGAAGTAAAGGATGGGTGGATCCCGTGCCGTAGCCGGAGGCCTCATTTGATCCCAATCTTCACATCGTCGACAACTGTTCCGCATATATACTGCTATGAAGAGGGAAATACTCGCTATGAACTCATTGCTGAATAATACCATATCTTAAGACTCTTTTCCTAGAAAGAGATGGATTTGTTGGGTCATATCAAGAAAAAATAAATAAATAAATAAATATTCCCAAGGTGGGGTCAGGGCCCGCCGCCAAACAGCGGGAACGGCAAGGTGTCAATTAAACTGGAATTCTCCGCGCTGTCGATAACATCAAGTAAAGCAACAAGCATCAACACCACGTGGGAGACAGTACCCACTCAGGGACAACCTAACGCTATCGAGCCCTATCTGAGAGCTGCCGGTACCGCACACGGCGAAGCGCGACTACAGAACACAGGTCAATCATCCAAGTTGTGAGATCGCCCGCGTTCCATAGTGATTTTAACGGACAATGAAAACCGCGTTCGTCATCTTAACTTTTTTGTACAAGAGATCCTCCCCCGCCAAGGGCCGGACCTCTTGTTGAGCATGGATTGGATTCTTCAAAAGCGTGCCTGTCCTGAGCCCTACACGCAAGTCCCAGAGGGGAAGGGCAGCAAACACAACACACGATCCATCACCACAACAAGCAACGTCGTCGTCGCGCCTCATAGCAGGCGGCAGGAAGGAGGGAGAGGGACAAAAGGACTCAGAGACGGCAGCATCAACCCCAAAAGAAAATCAAAGAAAAAACATCATAAAAATGCCGTGCTTCCGGAACAAAAACACTCGCGCGCTCCAACAAGCGATACGTTGTTCTCCTCAAGATTTGTCAAGCAAGCGACGCCGCTACTGGAGTGCATACATGTGCTGCCTGCGAGATCCCATCTGCTTACAGAAGCACTCGGAACAGATAGCAAGGAGAGCGAGGCAAAACGTGCCCCAGGTTGCTTCGAGGATTACAACATCCAACAGCCGTCGTGGATCATGCGCGGCGGCGGAGCAAGGAGCGGAGCCAAAAGCACCTCCGGCACAACAACACCACCCCTTACCACTGTGAGGTACTCGTGGGACTCCGCGTAGACCGTCGACATGCAGCGCTTGTTCCCCGCGCCCGCCGCGAGCCACCCCGCTCTTGGGAGAGACGGAGAAGGCCCCGTGAACGTGCGCAAGGTCCGCACGGCGGCTCCCGACCTCAACGCGCCACCAAACCTAGCAACCGCCACAGACGCCATGCTTGTAGAGAGGATGTGTGGGAAGATGCTCTGGTAGTAGTAGTAGGGAGAGAGAGGGGGAGAGAGCTGCAGTAGATGGTAGAGCTCGGCGGGTGTGCAAGATGTGAATGATGTTTGCATGTTCGTCAGGGGGACCTGCGGCGGGATAAACACGCGTGTTTTTTTTTTTTTGGCGTGTCCCTCGATCGATACCGCAGCAGCAGCGGCAGGAGTATATCCCATTACCTCTTTCCCTTCTCCCCTCCCATTTGGAACAAGCAACTCGCGTAGAACATGATCCAAGCAACTAGCACGACGCTGCGCCGTTGCGCGGCGCGAGCCTGCAACGGCAGCAGCGGCAGCCAGGCGCTCAAGCGGCACGTCCAGCGAGCAACGTTCGCGTCCGGCCCTCTCGAAAAGACGGCATACCACCAGATGCACGTCGACATGAAAGGCAAGATGGTGCCCTTCGCGGGCTACGAGCTCCCCGTTCTCTACGAGGGCGAGGGGGGAGGGGTCATGAACGAGACTCTGCACTGCCGCGCGCCGGGGAAGGCCAGCGTCTTCGACGTGAGCCACATGGGGCAGATAAGGTGGACCGGCAAGGATGCGGCGGATTTCATCGAGAGGTGCGTCGTGGGGGACATCAAGGGGCTCAAGGCCGGGGAGGGGCGGCTCACGCTCATCACCAACGCCAACGGCGGGATCGTAGACGACACCGTGGTGAGTGTTTTGTTTGGCACGGGAGGGAGACGCAGGCAGGGTAGAGCGGAGGTCAGGATACCCACGTGAAAACATGCCGCTGGATATCTGTGATCTATCTTGCAGTATTTCCGCCGCCGGAGCAGCAGGCAGTCACACACGCACGCGCGCACGAGACCCATCACATGACACCAGCCTTTGCTACGGCGGCGCTTCGCTGCACCTTTGTGCCTTCCTGCAAGCCGATAGGACGTAGAGGGTCAAGTCTGTCCCCTACATCCTTGGCGTCGATTGTCTGTGAAGTCAGGCGCGCTGAGTTCTTTTTGTGCTATCTATCCCCAACTGTTCATGTCACGTCATCCGACATGATCAATCACGCTGGATTGCTGTGATGTACAGAACCATTGAACAGCTGTCTAGGGAGGCCTCAGCAAGGGGAACGCGGGGTGTTGTGCTGCACGATTTGGAAGTACAAAGCAATATGCACCTCCCTGTGCGGGCAGTTGTGTGTCTATTGTCTAATGTAAGGTTTTGTCAAGATATCATGGCGTGTTGTTTTCGCCCTTGGGATGCCGCGCTACTTTTCTTGTTGTTGCCTGACGCAAGGGCGCCTGGCGGCGAGCATGTCTCATCTGTCAACCATTGTTGGTCTTGAACAGCGTCACTGCGCGAGCACCAGTAACGGGTGCGCTGGCGGTATGGAGTAGACCCGCCGCCGTAAAGATGCATGAAGTTGGGGGGCGGCGTTCCCCCTCGGCGGTGCCACCGAAGTGCTGCGTTGGTGGGTTGCCCGATACAGTATTCTCAACGCTTTTACGCATCGTAACAAGTATAGCGGTTGCTACCTTTTTCATTTTAACATGCGTGTGTCGATCAGCGTTGCTGTGGTCAAGAGAAATAGCAGCCACCCCGTGTTTTGCCCCGTTTCTCTCCATCACCCGGGCGTCAGGTCACAGTATCGCTCGCCCCGCCGTTGTAGAAGGTACACATCTGAAACCTTGGGGTGCTGCCGTTGCTACGCTGTTATTCCTTTTGGAACTGCTGCGGGCAGTATGAATACACCAGAAACCCACGATACATGCATCTCCTGGTCCATCGAGTGCCTCCGCGTCTAAAATCCCTGTACCGGCCGATCGATCCGTCGTCTTGGTACACACTACGTCCGTAGGTCACGAACGCCGGGGACTACATCTACATGGTCGTGAACGGGGCGTGCAAGCACGGCGACATGGCGCACTTCAAGGAACAGATGGCAGACTTCAAGGGCGACGTGCACATGGACTACATGGAGACGCAGCAGCTCCTGGCGCTGCAGGGGAAGGGCGCCCCCGCCGCCCTCCAGGTATGGGCCCGCGTCGTCATCGTTTCTACCAGATGAGGCCGAGCTTGCCGTTTTTCGCTGTGCCGAGGCGGGTGCCGTTTGATGCCTCGATTGAAAGGTTTGGGCCGATCGGACTGAGATCAGATTCGTTACATATCTGGAACAGATGTCCTTCGATTCGTAGATCTCCGAAGCCACCAGCGGCTCAACTGTGTTGTTGAGTTGTTGCCGGTTGCGGCCGTTCGCCTCATTTGTCGCTCGATGGCGTCCAATGCAACCTGGCACATGTCGCGTTTTTAGTCGCCGTCGTCTCCAGGCGTCGATCGGCAACACGATGGAACCTTTCATGCCTCTCGTCGAAAGGCACAACGACTCTCCCACCCCACATGGTAGCCGGAATGAAACCATTAGATCATACTCAGCGCCGAACCCACGGCAGTTTCTACCTTGTGCCGACTGATGGAGATCCTTGTCTTCGACTTGATGACCCACACAGTCCCTGATGCCCGACGGAGTGGACGTTACGAAGATGCTTTTCATGACGGGCGTCGACACCACCGTGGCAGGCATCGAGGGCTGCCGGGTGACTCGCTGCGGCTACACCGGCGAGGACGGCTACGAGGTACGCAAGCTACATTTTCAGGTCGTCCCCGCCTTTAGAAAGTCATTCGCTTTTGGAAAACATGGCGCCCGGCAGAATGTACAAACAAGAAGGGAAGTAGCCTATGCTGTTACGGACGCTTCTTTGAAGGACAAGGGGGGTCCTTCAAAGCGGGGATGACTCTACCACCCAAACGCGTCGATTTGGGTGTTGGTGTTGTTGTACGCCACGCCAAAACAGCTTAAGAGGAATAAAATTGAGTCGGTTACGCGGGGAAGCAATATCCTACTCTTTGAGGCGTTTGGTTCGGTGGGGTGGGGTGTTTGCCGCGGACGTTAGGCGCGAAAACTGCGTTGTCGCGGTGTCTTTCCGAGGTTCATGTTCAAGTCGCCGTCGATGCAGCTACAGCGTTACACTTTAACACCAAAGCCAAGACCCAGGAAAGAACCGTTTCTTCTCGGAAACGCTCGAAGTCGCCGTTTTCAGACCGTGATCTGTCAAGGCCACCTTTGCTGAACGCACAAAATGTTCGTAGCTGCCATACATGTATTCGCAGCAGTCGATCGGGGTCTTGCGTCTGTAGAGTGCCGGCGTCATTACGGGTTTTGTTACAGCGGTCGGAAGGGAACGAGCTGACCCTTCGTCGCGGAGCAAGGCATCTAGTCCTTCACAGGCACAGGTAGTTCCAGAGCTGCCTGCCTGTAAGCGGACAGCCGCGGTTTCCTGACCGCTTTTGAGGTGTAGAGCGCCCGCATTGACCCCAGGGATTTTTGAGATACTGCCCCCTGAAATATTTAACAGAAAAAAACCGCATTTACAAACACTCGAGAAAAAAAAACAGCGATGTGTGTCTTTGAAGCGTGGACGACTGAAAGACGTGTCCTTTTCTTTGGGGGGGGGGGGCAAACCGACTTATTTTGCTCTCCAGGTGAGCGTTCCGTACGACTCGGCGGTGGCCCTGGCGGAGTCGTTCCTCGGCATCTCAGGCGTCAAGGTGGCGGGCCTGGGGGCCCGCGACGCGCTGAGGCTGGAGGCCGGACTCTGCCTGTACGGGAACGACATCGATGGCACTACTAACCCGGTGGAGGGGTCGTTGGCATGGTGAGTACGAAGGACAAGAAGCACGGGCAAAAGGAAGGTCTGTAGCGGAGCATGTGGCCGGCGGTAGCGGTGAGTGCCTCGTGCTACGCATGGAGAGGGGTCCCTTGGCATGGTTAGTGAGGAGAAGAAAAAGCACGAGAAAAAGGGCGTATATTTTCGAAAGTGTGTGCACAACGGTATTAGCGTTGGGTACACCATACCATCACCGAAAAATCTCAAAACAGAGAACCGCCTCGTATACATCAAGTGTGTTGTTTTGTCTGCCGATGCTGGGTGCGTGGCGGAAAACGTTCTCGGCGCAACTCCTGCAAGCCGTCGACGTGCCTGGCATACCACATGCACTTTTTACCCAAAGGTTGGATGTATGGTCATGTCCGTTCCTAGTGTCGACTTCGGGACGTACCCCGCCACCAGCATGAAATATTTCAGAAGAAGCAAAATGATGGAGCGGGTCTACTCAAAAGAGCAATCGCAATGTGTGTCGTTTGCTTTTGTCATTCTCGTGCCACTTGATGGTTGCCGTCTAGGGCCGACACGGTTCCGCCAACTACCGCAAAGGACTCTCGTCCGTGTAACGACCCTCACTGCCCTACGGCTGCTGCTGCTGCTGTTGTTGTACGCCGTGCCGATTGTTTTTCCAGGACTATGGGTGGTCCCAAGGGACGGCGAAGACTTGAGCAGGGCTTCCTGGGCGCGGAACACTTCCTCACCCCAGAGGGAAAACTCAAGGTCCGTCAGGTTTGGTTAAGTTACAGGTTACAGGTTACGCTTGTCTTTTACGGTAGCAGACGTCACCAGTAGTAGTGTGTTGTCGGGCACGTCCTTCCGAGGCGAACAAATTGCATTCAGGGGATCTGCCGCCACCGCCACCCCGACCGCCGCCGCCGCTGCTGCTGCTGCTGCTGCCGTTGGTTGCTTTTACTGGTGCCCTATGTACGGTTTGTTCATGCCACCTTTCGTCTCGTGCTCTCTGGGGAAACGCGAGAGGTTTTTATTGTCGAAGAGCGTCGCCAAACGCTAGCAGAGTGTTCGTACGATTGGGAGGACGATAACTATCTAGCCGACCTCGGGTTCCACCTTGGAATTCCTTGCCAAAAGCGAGGCGGCTTCTGACAGGAGCGGCGACGGGGCACGAAAAGCATTACTGAATAAACTGGGGAATGTTGTCCAACACCTTCGTCTTCGATGTCAGAAGCAAGTCGCGTGTGCGATCGAATTAGCCGTAAAGTCAGAACATGTCGTCAATCTGTGTTAGATGTCAGAATCCAATCCCATTTGTTCATCGTTTAGCCGTAGATAAGAGGCCCTGCGGTGTATCCGGGGTGCGTTCTGGTGCGTGTTTTCGACCCGCTTTCGGACCCTCTGCACGACGGTGATTCAAAACAGTTGATCTGCCATGTTCGGTTTGGAAGATACGCTGATCGCCTTCTTGCGGAGTCGATTTATTCGTGTCTCTTGTTGCTTTAGTTTTACTGAAAATGAGCTTCTCCATGTAACGGAAGACCGTTCTCGTTTCTTTCCGTGGTTAACGAGAATCTAATGACCAAACTTCCGGCTGCCTTCCCGGTGCCCCGACTACGTACGGCTTTTCAACCGAATCTTGTTTTTGCTGCATTCGCGGCCGAGCAGAAGCAAACCAGGAAGCGCGTTGGCATCTCCGGCATGAAGGCGCCCGCTCGAGACGGCACCGAGATTTTCGACGCTGAGGGCAAGACCAAGATCGGGACGGTGAGCCCTTTCTCTTTTTTTTCTCTTTCACGTTGCGTTTGTGTCCATCCCGGCCGCCTGCGGCCTTGTGATGTCATGGGGGCAGTACTCTCGTCCAGCATGTCCTATAATAGTCGAGTGTGGAGTCGAGCCAACGGGAACTTCTTTTGTCTATTATGAGTAGTTTTTCCGTTGTGGGGGTCGCAAGCTCATCCTTCTGATGTCCTTTCTTGGTGCCCTGTCAAGTAGACATTAGCCACGCTAGCCAACAGACCATGTGACGAGATATCATCCGTACCGATGTCAAAACACCCCCCAATAATAAAACCAAGCATGCGGGGCCCCCTACATGCGGGGGGGGGGGGG